ACGTTCGAGACAACTGGATTAAAGTTATGGCTGTGTGAGGCGGGAGTGGGGGTTCTGCAGCAACGGGGACGAAAACAAAATTACGAAGTAGACTGGACATAAAACACACACTTGAGGTGTCATTGTCTCCTATTACCCCGAGATGGGACCGTCTGGTTGCAGAAAATCAAGCTCGGGGCTGTGGTGAGTCGTCATTTTCATGCACTTTGAATTTGCGTTGTATCGTATTTTGAAGGCATTAAACATTACCATCGCGATCAGAGAGAGTGTTGCGGCCAGATTAGACGCTCCTTGTGTTTATTATTATATTTCGAAAACACCACAGTTTCCATGCAGCTCATACCATATTATTTTGTTGTATTATTTCCGCCACACCTTAAATGCCGGTCCCTGAAAATATTGTCTGACATAAACCGGTCCGTGGGGCAAAAAAGGTTGGGGACCCCTGCAATAGAGTAACTCCAAATTGCCCTGCTCGTTTCACTTCCCGCCAGATGGGTGGAGTCAGCTGATTCAAACACGCCAGCAAGTCAATTTTCCATCACGTGAAGCAAAATGGCAGCTGTCCATTTTTGAACCCTTGACGGCTCAGCTTTTTGTCCTTTTCTTTTTAGCCGTCGGCGACGGTCACCGAGTTCCCGTGTCCCGTGTGTCACAAAGTTTACCCCATGCAGAAGAGGCTGACTCAGCACTTGAAGACCCACAGCGCAGAGAAGCCGCATATGTGCGATAAGGTCCGGCCGGCTAGCCCAAATGTTGGCAACCTGACAGTCCGGTCGAAAACATGTCATCTGATTCTTTCTTTCCGTTTTTACAGTGTGGCAAATCCTTCAAGAAGCGCTACACATTCAAAATGCACCTCCTGACGCACCTCCAGAGTGTGGGAGACAGCACGTCAGTAATACGCATTTTGTATAACGTACCACTTTTTGAATTTTACTTTTTATTATTTTTTAAATTTTTTATTATTATTCTTTTTTGGAACCACATGAACAATTTCTAGCTACCTTTTGCTCAGCTATTCCGGACTAACCCAGCGCGTTGTGTGTTTGTCAGCTTCAAATGCGAATTTTGTGACTACACTTGCGCCAACAAGAAGTTGCTGCTCAACCACCAGCTGTCCCACACCAGCGACCGACCCTTCAAGTGCAGCCACTGCAAATACACCACCTCTAAAGAAGACTTCCTCGTGTCCCATCTGGCCATTAAGCATACAGGTCGGTCCGATAGGGCGTTTATTGAAGTTAAGAAGCAAAAAAAATAAAAAAAAGAGTCATCCATTGTTTCAACTCAGCAAGGCACACCTCGAGATTATAGCAACTGCATGGGTTACTCCTTTCTAACGGCATATATCGATGAGTATCATCAGCATAACATTGAAAACTAATCTTATATTTACATATGATGTCCCCGAGTGCGAGCTTGAAGATTGCTGAACAAGAAAGGCCCCAGTACCCATCCCTGTGGGACTCCACATGTCATAAAACGCAGAAGTGGTTTTACCCTAAATTACAATCGTTTTTTTCTTCGGCAGTTGCTTCAGGTCTTTCAGCCGCACTGCTGTTGATATAGCGCTTCCACAGCGACGTGACGCCGCAACAGTAGTTAAAACACGTCGCTGCCGCAGAGGGACGTCGATCACTCAATCAGCACAGCTGCAGCTTAACGCTACATTGAGCGATAGCGATCGGTCTGGCTGGGGGCGGCCGCTGCGCAATTTGGAACGCAGGAAAATTATTATTTCATGGGTTATACACTTCCGCTATCAAAAGATGCATATGTATGGAGTATATATATTTAGACGCAAGCAGACCATTAGTTGTCGGGCACTTGGATCGGCAGTGTTGTTCATTTGGACTTTGGTCTCAATATGTCCTGTTTGTAGGAGACAAACCCTTTGCCTGCTCGATGTGTCACTTTGGCACCAAACATCGCAAGAATCTCCGCCTCCACGTGCAGTGTCGCCATCCGGAAGCTTTCGAGGAGTGGTCCGTCTCTCACCCGGCGACGGAGACCAAGACGCGCCGCAAGCCTTTTTTCGCCCTGCAGCACGTCGAGGAGCAAAAACAGCAAGACGAGGACGCGGCGCAAGTGGTGCCCAACGCCATCGTGAGTCCACGTGGCCACTTTTGCATTTGATTGACACCGACGAGGGAAACGAGTAACTGTGTTCTCCTTCCCTTTTGGCTTCTGTCAGGTTTCAGTGGACCCTGTTGCTCTGGAGGCGATTCAGGGGATGGCGAACGCTTCGGTGTCCCAGGATGCCCTGGGAAACACCACCATCATCTATGAACAAGGTCGGACACCTTGACAAAACTGCTCAGTGAACTTCCTCTTTTTCCGCAGTAACTCATTTGTTCCCGAAGCAAATGTTTGCAATACCCCCCCCCCCCAAAAAAAAAAGATTTAACTACTGCAGCACTGTGAATTTGATCTGCAACAAAAACAGGAGGGTCAAATGAAGCAACTTCATGTTGGTCACTGTACCGGGAATGTAAAAACTGAATGTGGTGTCTGCGTCCGCTCTCCAGCCGAGTCCGGTGAGCTCTCCGCCCAGAACGCCCTGAGCCTGCTGCTGAATATGAGCAACGCCCGGGATTTGGTGGGAGACGCCTTACAAGTTGGTGAAACCGCTCCAGTAGCAACACGACTTCTGAAAATAAAAGTCGATTGACCGAGCCGACGCCGACCGCGCTCCCCAGGTAGCCGTGCTCAAGTCGGACGGCAGCGCCGAGGTCAAAGCTCTCGAGAAGGAAACGTGGGGCGCGGTGTCGGCGGCACCGGGCCAGGCCCACAAAGTCGTCACCGTCCACGTCTCCGAGAACGGCGACGCCGTTTTGCAGGAGGCCTACGGGGCGGAGACGGAAGCCATCGCTCAGATCGCCATGGAAACCTACACGGACGACGGGGAGTTCAACGTGGTGGAGCAGGTGACCGAAGAAGTCCAAAGCTCCGAGTGCAGGTGACGGAGTGATTGCAAATGTGGGCGTGGCTTTTCTGTGGCTCTGCTCATGATTGACATGCCCAGCAAATGTCGTTTTTTTTCTGCTAAGATGGCTTGGAAGGCTGAATTTCTCAAAAGTTGAGTTCTGGGATCTTTTAAGGCGCTCAGACTATCCCGGAATCGTTACATTGGGACAACTGTTGGAGCATCTAATTCACAACATTGTTAAATGATCAAGACTATTGTCAAAATATTATTAATTACTCTGTACATTTATTGGAGCAGCTGTTTGGGACTTGTCCCGAATTTCCCAATTGCCACCACGCCTCTGGTCACAGTGTAAAAAAACAAAAAATCCTTCTCATACAAATCATCTGAAATAATTTTCCACTGAGTAAATCCACAACTTTCTTTTCCAGTAATGAGAAGAACGATCAGGTGCGGGCCGTCGAGGAGTCCGAGGCGCAGAGCCCGAAAACGGAAAAGTTCTACCTCGCTTCTGGGTTGGCCGACGGTGTTCTGCAACAGGTGGAGGTAACGACATTGTTTTTTTGTTTTTTTTGTTGTTTTTTTTTCCCCCCCCCCCCCCACCCCAACACAAACGTGGCGTCACATTGAGCGTGTCTCACATATCTGTCCGCTTGCAGCTAAGCAGCGAAGCGCCCGCCTCGCCTCCTGCGGCGAGCTCGCCCAGCGTCAGTGCCAAGCGGTTCTCTTGTCGCATATGCATGGAGTCCTTCCACGGCCGCTCGGACATGGAAAACCACAAGCGGGCGCATGTGGATCCCAACACCTTCAAGTGTCCAGACTGTGACTTCACCTCAAACTCTTGGCCTGAGGTTAAGGTGGGCGCAGGAACCTGTTTTGCTCTCTCCCACATCCGACTCAATCTGCAAAATTGTACGGCAACTACACTTGGACAAACTTAAGTGAGATTGACTTTGGATCACTTGGGATTCGACCTGCTCAGGGGTTGAAAGGGTTTCTGAGAATTTCTGTCGGATGGCACGGGAAGTTAAGATGGGGAATTTTTGGGGGGGTGACAGGAGACAAGGTTCCTCGTGCACTTTGGCGAACTACAAAATGCTAACCTGCCTACTTGGTGTTTGTTGGATTCAGGCTCACACGGAGCTGCACTCGTACTTGCGGCCTCACAAGTGCCTCAGCTGCAGCTTTGCCTCCAAGAACAAGAAGGACCTGCGCAGACACCTGCTGACGCACACCAACGAAAAGCCCTTTTCTTGCAAACTTTGTGGCCAGAGGTACGAACAAAGCAGTTTTACCGGCTATGAAACAAAATACTTTCCATTTCGACACTTTCTACTTTGCAATTGACTGATGACCACTCCGCGTTCGAGACCACCTCTAGTCTAAAGTGAGCTGGGATGCACTTTAGCGCGCCGTACATTTTGTTCCGAAGCAAGGTTGCGCCGGCGGTTCGCCTCCCGCGGTTCGTTGTAACGAAGGCCTTTCCGCGATTTTGTGGGGAAAATCTGGTCGGTATAATGAAGTTTACGTTGGAAGCAAAATCGGTAAATGCAAAATGAATGACATGAAATCGGAACTTTGAAATACGAACGTTCGACGGGTGGAGACATTGGAAACGGGGTATGTTGAAAAGAGGTTTGTGTGTGCGTGTGCGTGTGTGTGTGTGTGTGTGTGTGTGTTACACTGTATGTACATCTGCATGTACTTCCAAATAAATTCAAATGAATTGATTTAAGTCGCTTAATCTCCTAGCCTGGGTGACCCAGTGGACGAGTGGTTAGCACGTCGACCCCACAGTGCAGAGGTGCCGGGTTCAATCCCAGTTCCGGCCTCCCTGTGTGGAGTTTGCATGTTCTCTCCGGGCCCGCGTGGGTTTTCTCCGGGTGCTCCGGTTTCCTCCCACATTCGAAAAACATGCGTGGCAGGTTCATGGAACACCCGAAATTGTCCCGAGGTGTGAGTGTGAGCGCGGATGGTTGTTGGTCTCTATGTGCCCTGCAATTGGCTGGCAACCGGTTCAGGGTGTCCCCCACCTACTGCCCAAAGACGGCTGGGATAGGCTCCAGCACCCACCGCGACCCATGTAAGGATAAAGCGGATCGGAAAATGGATGGATGGATCTCCTAGCCGTAGTCTCTTTTTGTGGTTTGATGGGCACATGTTTTTGCAGCTTCAATCGCAACGGCCACCTCAAGTTCCACATGGAGCGTCTCCACAACCAGGAACAGACCACCACGCGCAAAACCCGCGCCGCCCTGTCCCAGCAGACGATCATCGTCAACAGTCACGAGGAGGCGCTGGCCACGCTGCAGTGTAAGACTTTCACCAACGTCACCACGCACGCGCTCGGGATGCACGGCTGTTTGCCGACGACGCTTTCAAAGGTCACGTTATGATCGGATGAGTCTTAAAAACATGGATGCGTGTTGCAGCCCTGCAGGCCCACCAGGCCGTCATCAGCCCAGATCAACTGCAGGCTCTGGGGCCGGAGCACATCATTGTGGCCCAAGACCAGTCTTTAACGGAGCAGGTAGCGCAACCTCGCGTTCACTCAAAGCCGCGCATCGTAGGACAACATCCTTGTTTGCGCCGATCAGGAGGAGGGCGCATACATCCAGCAGATCACCACCATTGACGGACAGACGGTCCAGCACCTCATGACGGGAGACAACCAGGTCACTGAGGTGAGGAACCGGACATCTTCCGCTTGACTCGGAGCACTTCCAGGCTGTACGGACACGACGTGTTAATTTATTTTGTTTAGCACGCTGCTCTGCTAGCAACTCTTGATCAATCGAACGTTTTCATGTTTTTTTTTCTTCTTACATATGCTGGAAGCGATTTATTTCCAGGACATGTCACGCTAGCGCAAAAGCGTGATCTGCGTTCAAGTGCTGATCTCAATTTTGATTGGACACGTTGTCGATGCTGTGCGCAGGTGCAGTACATCATCTCCCAGGACGGGGTGCAGCACTTACTACCGCAGGAGTACGTGGTGCTGGCAGAAGGCAATCACATTGAGGTGAGCGCCAGTCACGCTTGACCGAGAGGCTGCGCGCGATGTTACGCCAGGCTCACTTTCTGCTCACGTCCCTCAGATGCCAGATGGGCAGATCATCCAGTATGAGCATGACGGAGTCTTTCTGCAGGAGCAGCAGGTGATGAGCAGAAAAGCACGGCTGGGCCGCATCAGGTCTTCCGAGCAATTTGCAGTTTGAAGGAGGGCTGTCACCTTTTGACGGAACGGATTATCCTGTCGATTACGGATGGCTGGATGGATCATAAAATATGAGAAAATAATGCTAGAAAATTATGTTCTGTTGCAAAATCCACAAACCAATTTATTATACAAAATAAAATGAGCCAAACTAAAGAAAAAAACAAAAACATACACATTTAGATTTCTCTATTTTAAGGACTAGAATTCAATCTCACGTAATTCTTAAAATCCAGCTATTTCAATTACAGTAGGGAACTTTTATACAAATATTTACATACTCTAATCTATAAAATTTCTAAACTTATGAAAATAATCATAAAATTAATCTCGAGTTTGTTTGTCTTTATCCCGGTCAATATGAACTGCAGGACACTGGGAGGTTTCACCAAACCATCTGTGCTCCCTTCCCTCCTTTTGTTCTTTTTAGATCGCGGTCAGCGCTGACGCTCCAATCCAGTACCTGCCCGTTGCTGCCTCGGAACAGAAAGAGCTGGAGGTTGGCGCCCAATCTGCCGTCACAGGTCTGCCCTTCGGACAAATTTATCGATTTTGAGTCCAAGCTGTGCGGCGTCAGTCGCAACATGAAGGGACATCTGCACGCTTCAACGAGCTCCAAAACAAAACCTGGATCAAAAACACAAACGGGTTAAAATATTAGAAACACAACCGCCAAAGGGGAAAGGTCTGCTAATGCTTTTTAAAAAAAAAAACTCCCCTCCACACCCCCCAAAAAATAAAGGGCATCCGTCAACGTTTTTGCTTTCCAAACCAGATATTTTGAATGACATTTTTCCTCTGGATTGGGTTTTTTTTTGTGTGTAGTTTATCTTTAATCTACTTAATGCTTGTTCTTATTTTGATGAGGGAAAAAAAAAATCACAATTTCATTATCGACTGACAGGGATTACCGGTACTTATATTGTGATGCACTCTTCAGCCATATCACCCAGTCCGAGTTTGAAAACTCAACTCAGCTGTATTCACAGAGCACTTGAAAACAACCACAACTGTATCCAAAGTTCTATACATGGAGCAAAAATAATTCATACCACAACAAAAAAAATAGAATGATAGATAAATAACAAAGACAGGAGTAAAAAGCACAAAAAAACAATCAAACTAAAATCAAGTCCCGAAGTCAAAAGCCAAAGAGTAAAAACAAGTTTGAAGACAAGTTTTATTAAAGCATGATGCACATTTTTTCGTATGTTGCCCTCGCTGGGGGGATGACTTAAGCCGATCCCGACTGTGGTCCCTTTTACCCGTTGTAGCGGTGGCAGACGCGGCGGTGACGGTGCAGGCGCAGGCGCAGGTGCAGGCGCAGGTGCAGGCGCAGGTGCAGGAGGTCTACACGGAGGCAACGCCCGAGCAGCTGGCGCAACTTCAACAGCAGCAGCCGGGGGGCCACTATGACGTCATTCCC